AAAAATTATCGTTATATGGAAGTTAGGCGTAAATTTGATCATCCACTTGCAATAGTTGTGAAAAAAGTAATGTTTGAACAAGTTTCATCAAAAGATCTGAATCCTAGCTGAAATTATCGTGTACACTGCTGTCTAACGGAGGCACTCACGGAAATATCCCATCATTCCAAGAAGTTTGATACATATAAACGGTTTTCCAATAAGAAGTATTATTTTAAAAAGCCGGTTTTTTCCGGTAGATGTCACTTTTGAAGCTTAATGTATCTTTTTTGACATTTAACAAGTAAGTACCGGTGAAGGTCAAATAATGAAAAGGAGCAATAGTGGACAGCATGTGAACTAGAGAACGTAGATTAAAAAGAAATGTTGACAAACAGAGTCGATTTCTGGCGGAAGTGGTGAAGTAGTCTTTTATTTCTTTCCTCCATTCTGGCAGTTCACATAATGTCCGTAAACGTTCCCTGTCGTTATTTGACGCTCTCTGACGTGAACTGCTAAAATAAGTGTCTCCCAAATATCATTCTTCTGTAAATAATTTGTCAGCCTCTGGTAGTTCGCTGTTAACTAGCGGTTAAATAGTCTCTTACTAATATCGTATAAAGGTGAAATAGTCTCTTACTAATATCGTATAAAGGTGAAATAGTCTCTTACTAATATCGTATAAAGGTGAAATAGTCTCTTACCAATCCCGTAGATGGAAAAAATGGCAATCGGCACACCCCGGGCCTGGCAGAGACGGTTCATTAAAATAAAACATTTTTCGAACATCGTGAAACACCTTGTTGGACCGCAATACAGAAATCGGTGGGAAAAATGGAGCTGTTGAGACAAGTTGGTGATTTGAAGAATAAAACACCTACACAACGATAAAGAGTAACTGATATTGCTGTTGTAGCCCAAATTATTGAAAAACGCCCAGGTTTGTTGATATTCATTGTCGTTCTTTGTCACATCATTGCGACGTATTTTGCATAAAGACTTGGGTCCTAAGGCTTATAAAGTGCGGTCTTTCGGACTTTGCTGATTTAATCCTTGAAATGCATGATAATGATCAGTAATTTCATCGAAATATCATCTTGATGGATGAGTGAGATGATTAATTTAATTTTTTTCTTTTGCCGGAATCGAATGATATAGATCTGGACAACGTTTACTTTCAACAAGACGGCCACACAAGCGACGAAACCATTAATCTTTTAAGGAAAAAGATTCCGAAACGTGTTATCTCTCGAAGATGTGATCGCAATTGTCCACTGAGATCTTGTGATTTAACACCTTACGACTCTTCCTTTGGGGCCACGTGAAAGATATGGTCTACACCAACGGGCCAATGCCGATTCAAGACCTCAACGATGGAATTCGTGAAGTTATTAAGGACATACAGCAAACACCTAGCGATTTGGTGATAGCAAATTTCATAAAAAGGTTACAGTCCTGTAAGCGTAGCCGAGGCTGCCATTTGACTGATAGTGTCTTACATAATTAATGGTATATCTTCCGCTCTGCATTGAAGTAAAAATTCGATCATTTTTCTCACAAAATGCCATTTTCCTTGAATATAAAATGAAACTCTTCCTATTGGAAAACCCTTTATACACGTATATGTATATGCATCTATGTCTATATCTATCACAATAATTTTGAGCCATTACAAACAAAACTGACCGATTCGATCTAATATACTTTGATGTATGTATGTATGGTATGTAATATTTTTATTACGCAGAATACAGTTATATTTTTTGAATTTCACGCTGCCTATATTTTTTTTGCATACCTTGCACGTTCATATATACGTTTCAAATGAAATTGAACTAAGTCCATTTTATCAGATTTTGCAATAAAAAATTTAGAGAAGATTTTTAATCGAATAAATAGTATTAAACTAATAATTTTTTTTTATAGTGGAACAAATAATACGTTTTCTAACCAAATTAGTTTAGCTTCTATTGTCGAACAGACGTAGATCAAGTCTTCGCAAATAACAGTGAGAAATAGTGAAGATAAGAAAATGTGTAATTCCATTTTTTAAACATTTATTTGCGCATGTCTTTTTATTAAAGTAATTTATTTATTTAGTTCACTAAAACAAACTGTAAGTGCTGTTAACAGTGATAACACGAACCAAAATGGTTGTGTAAAATTCAAATTTTATTTTTGTGGTAGCATCAACAATTAAGATGACAAATTTTAAAGAAAAAATCGGTCTTTTGGCAGATGAAAATTGCTATTAACGAATTTTTCCAAAATTGGACTTATATTATTTTCATTTATAGCAGCCTATATATACATATATATATTTACATACATACACCAAACACACTATATATGTATGTATATTGTACATAAATACGTTGAATTTATTTGCATATACAAATGTACATATATATTATAACATTTTTTATAATATTAGGTGATCAGATAGCAAGATAAAGTTTTTTCAGTTTTCAGTGTCTTACTTTAAGAAAATTTTGAGCATGCACACATACTACATATGTACATCCCTATGCATTTACATTGAAATATACGAAACAAAAATGCAAAAATTTAACTCTAGTAATGTCTAATGTGCATGTTTAACAAAATTGACTAAAATAAAAAATATTTAAGCGATAATTTCCAAAAGATATTTTGGTAATTTTGTATTTACTGAATAATCAGTTTTAAGAAAAATAATAAAAAATACTATATACTATAGTTATAAGTGTAATGAGAAGTACGATTGCTGATATATTGAATTTGAAACTTCTTAAGGTGCTGTCAGACAAAGCAATTAAGCGATTTCGATTTCGACTGGCTACCAAAAATTGCGTGCAGTCACACGCTGTAAATTTTCTTTTTCATAATTATAGGAAATTGGTTTTGGTGGGATGACAAAGCAAAATTTAAATCTTTTGAGAGCGAAATGTTTTGAAGGAAAAAACATTGGTGTTCCTGACAGCACCTTAAATTTTTCATAAAACACAAATATTACTTATACGCTATGACACACGAATCTCTTACAAAAAATCTCCTTTTGTAAAAAGTGTAATTTACAATATCAAAAAACGAATGCAGCTTATAATACCGGCTCATATGATTTTTTTTATTTACAGAAAGCCTTGCCCACCTTTTCTTAACACCCGAAATTAAATTTGGTATTCTGGCGAACTTTTTACAATGTTTGAAAAAAATTTGGCAGCACTGTTTTATTCGTCCATGTCAAATTACATTTGCCAGTTGATAAAGTAAAATGAAAAATATTCACATCGAAATGGAGGACGGTGCACAAAAAAAACTAAAAAGTTTTATTAAATTTGTTTATTAAATCATAAATATTTGAACCTAATTATGGAAAATATGCCTGGGCGACAAAAAAAGCTGAATGAAAACGAAACGTCTCGAAAACTTCTTAAAATACGGCTTTTTGCACTTTTTTCTTCATCTTCAATGAATTCCAGGCCTAAAATATGCCTACCCATTTTTTTTTGGTATTTTTTCTGAAACTAACAACACAAAATCAAACAGCAGATATTTTTGTTACCACCTATTTCGCTGGTAACAAAATTTACAGGGTAACAGTGAGCTCAGAATACGAAATGGTAACAAAATTTCCTGAATGGTAAATTTTAATACCTAGGTAAAATTTGTTACCTCGACAGAATAGGTCTGTAAGTGTATTTTTGTATATAAATGAAAGCGCCTTAAAAAATACACCAAGACGCATGACGAGACGAACCTGTCGAAACAGCTGGTTTCCTGGAGGTTATTTAGCCTCTCCCAAAGCGGGGTAAAAAAACACCGCTACAACAACAACAACGAGACGACGGAACGGATTAAAACTCAAGGTTCTAAAATCAAATGTTTAACTCCCAATATTTTCCCTTATTTTTTATCTGGTCACTCCACAGCGAAACATTTGGACGTATAGTAGATATAAAATAAGATTAACCTTGACTGGTGTCAGTTTTTTGCGAATAGCATAATTGAAATAAAGAGCAAATAAATATGTTTGTATATACGTATACATATCAATAGAATATATGTTTGTACGAACATATGTAAAAATGAATAATAAACATTTTTACTCTCTTATAAATAATTTATATATATGCACCTTTAACAATAATGAATCTATTTTAAAGTCATAATATACAGAGGCGGTTTATTATTATTTATATATTCCTTTCGTATAGCAAATGTAAACATTGCCCTTTATGTATATGTCCAATATTTTTGACTATAAGAACATTAAGTTAAACGCAGAGAAAAGCTCAAGAGCTCATCTATGTATATTCCACGAAAATATTAATTATTAATTAAAATCTAATTGCATTACATTTACTTATAAATATGTATGTCTTGGAGTCAAGTAGTTAGGACATAAAGAGAGAGTAGTGAACATTTCCGTTTTTTTACTACTATTTTCTATTGAGTCTTCTCACTTGTACTATACGAATGAGTAAACAGAAGGCGTTAAATATATTACTTATAATATCTTTTAAGCCAAAATATAATATGAACGAGATTACTTTAATTTTGATAAGTACCTCGCAAAATTGTTTCACCTAGATCCATAAACAATACATGTTTTATACAACCGAGGGAATCGGGTATCTGAGCCGGGTAATGTGATTTATTATTATTTACGCTGTCCTTTAGTGCTATACATATTGTATATGAATCAATTAATTTATATTGTACATAAGTATTTACGTACGTATGCATATTTGTGTGCGTCATTTATGTTTAAATAATTTTAATAACATTTCGCACATTCAATCGCCGGACAGATACTTGCAGCTATGCGCATCGTACATATCTTGTACTTATGAAAATGACTAAAAAAGATTAAAAAAAAACGCTAGGGTTTTGAACTAATGCCAATAAAAATTTCTGTATCTTTTGTACTTTTACAAGAGTTCTTAATTTGTATGTTTTTTTTTTTTGTTAAATTTACTTATAATTCAAAAATCATTGCTGATAAAATGTTAATAAATGACATCCAAATGATAACTTACGCGAACTGCTGCTGTTGGGGCTGTGGTAATGCTTGTTGAGACATTCTGTAAAGCAATTACATAAAATATACATTAATTATATATTGTATCGTGTTTAAACACTTACGATAACGAAAATTACAGCATATGCGTTTAGGCGCATACATACATATATGCACATTTTGTTATACATAAATGTATACATAGCAAAGAAACTGAAATATTTACTATCGAATTGCAAACTTTACAAACAAGTGTGATAAGCCCATTAATGTGTTCAGATTATTTCAAATATTATGGTTTATTGTCTTCGATAAGTATGTTTTTCATTTATTGCACCTATGTATGTTTTGACAAACATTTAATATTTTTTTTTAACTTTATCCAAAAGAGAAATATACAATTCAATTTAGAGCCGTTAATTAGATATTAGATTATAAGTGATGACCTAATTTGGAATGATTTTCTACTAAAATGTTGAAAGTGGCAAAGGAGCTTGTGTAGGTGTATACGAGCAACATTACATTTCTCAGTATGAACGGAGCAGAAGGAAATAAAATGGAGCTTTAAGAATATTTAAATATTAAGTGTTAACTTATCACTACGTTTGGATTTACTGATTGTTTTCTTATGTTGGCCAATAAACTGTTCATAAAAAAATAATAAATGAGTCGAAAGAGCTTCCTAAAAAAGTTTGATATTTAAGGTAGCAAACTAGTTAAGTGGTTATGTAAGTTACCGGTTGTTAATCTATAACCATTGATTTTTCAAAAGAAAAATAAAGTTTGCAAATGTTCACTTTCTATATATGTATGTATGTACTACATAAAATCTTATTAGCTACTTACATTGATACTGTTTTATACTTTATTTTTTGTTTATAAAAATATGAACGCCAACGGGAGAAGAGCACTAATCGTGTAATATTTAATAATCAATGCTCTTAAAGTTTGTATCAATTTTATCATAAATACGATATGACAAAAAATATACAGAATATTAAACGCACTGATTAATGTCTCCAACGACACCAACGACCACTCGAGTTGAACTCCGTGCAAAACTGTACAGATGTTTTTGACAAGAAAATAACCCATTTTTGACATTTTCTTATCAGACTGTTTTTCATATCGGTACGTCATAAGGATTAAGCTGCCAACTAAACAATTTTTTTTAGGAAAAGCTTCATTTCATTAATTTTAATTTTACCAAAGAAATAAGGTAATTATTTAGAACAGCGGCTTTTGCTTAAACTGTCCAAAAATGATGGGGTTTTTGGCTAAATAGATGTATTTGATGATTATCTTTTCATTAAAAGTGGGGGAAAGCTGAATTTTGCAATAGTTTTATTGTTATTAACATTTAAAGTTACACTAAAATCACTAGCACATACATTACAAACAAATACATGGCTAAAGCGATGTTGCCATATCTTACTTAAAAAAGAGTAATGAATAAGACAAAGTATGGCGAAAGCGACATTGCCATACTGTGTAAGAAACTTAAAAAGGAGTAATAAATAAGGCGGAGCAGGTGTGGGTCCTGCATTGATAGTTTTTCGATTTATTGAAACGAATATAAGCGAAAATTCATAACATGAATAAAAAAGAAAATTCATATTGGCTTGCATGTAAAATAACATATAAATTAAACAGTATTTTTCATAAAGACATTTCATTTAAAAATACTGTGCAAGGCGAAGCCGGTGTTGGTCCGGCCCAGGGTTACAATCCAAAGCGCGGCCGAAGGCCGCCAACTTACAAAGGAGTTTCACTTAAGAGTACTGTGCAAGGCGAAGCCGGTGTTGGTCCGGCCCAGGGTTACAATCCAAAGCGCGGCCGAAGGCCGCCAACTTACAAAGGAGTTTCACTTAAGAGTACTGTGCAAGGCGAAGCCGGTGTTGGTCCGGCCCAGGGTTACAATCCAAAGCGCGGCCGAAGGCCGCCAACTTACAAAGGAGTTTCACTTAAGAGTACTGTGCAAGGCGAAGCCGGTGTTGGTCCGGCCCAGGGTTACAATCCAAAGCGCGGCCGAAGGCCGCCAACTTACAAAGGAGTTTCACTTAAGAGTACTGTGCAAGGCGAAGCCGGTGTTGGTCCGGCCCAGGGTTACAATCCAAAGCGCGGCCGAAGGCCGCCAACTTACAAAGGAGTTTCACTTAAGAGTACTGTGCAAGGCGAAGCCGGTGTTGGTCCGGCCCAGGGTTACAATCCAAAGCGCGGCCGAAGGCCGCCAACTTACAAAGGAGTTTCACTTAAGAGTACTGTGCAAGGCGAAGCCGGTGTTGGTCCGGTTACAATTTAAATATGTAAATAATATGAATTTTGAAGATATGAAAATACCTTAATATTTGAATTTTTGAACAGTTTTCGTTTTTGTATGTAAATATGTAAATAATATGAACTTTCGTTTTTATTCATGTTAAGAATTTTTGTTTTTGTTCCTTTCAATAAATCGAAAAAAACAAACCATGCCGGACCCACACTTGCTCCGCCTTATTTATTGCTCTTTTTTGAATTTCATACACAGTATGGCAACATCGCTTTAGCCTTGTATTTGTTTGTAATGTATGTGCTAGTGATTTTAGTGTAACTTTAAATGTTAATAACAATAAAACTATTGCAAAATTCAGCTTTCCCCCACTTTTAATGAAAAGATAATCATCAAATACATCTATTTAGCCAAAAACCCCATCATTTTTGGACAGTTTTAGCAAAAGCCGCTGTTCTAAATAATTACCAGAAATAAATATAGATATATGAGCATGTATGCATTATTATCACTAAATTATTTAAACCAATTTTATATTAATAATTGTGTAGTTAGACCAATCCAATTGGCAACATCACCCAAACCTTTTTAGGTCTTTAACATACTTAGTTGGCAATATTAGTTTAAGAACTTGGATTTCATTCCAAGGAGTAGGCTTTAAATTTGCAGTGTTCTATCAAAATATTGGGTGCAATTGTTTTAAATATAAAAATTCATAAAATCGCAAAGAGCTAATCCAGAAGTATGACTGGCACGAGATTTGCACGCACTGGTCGTTGCCGGTCTCTTGTGTGTCTGGCTGTATTGACCGTGATGCTGTGTATGGTGGCGATTTTTCACAGTTCACAACAACAATTGGACGAGACACGCGAACAACGTATGCGCTGTGAAAGACAGCAGGAGCAGTTAAATGAACAGTTGCAGAGTTTGTAACTAAATATATGCATTATGTGCACTCTCGTTAAATTTTTAATTCATAGGTATGGTCGAACAAAAGTACAATCAACAGAAAACATTAGAACAAGAGCGTAATGACCAAATGGAGGCACGCCAAAGTTTGGAGCAAAAATTAAAGGAGCTGAATATTTTACGTACAAACGAGCAAAACGATAGTCGCTTACGTTATGATAAGTTGCAACAAGCACATAAATTGCTCAAAAGCGAGCACAATGAATTGGTAACTGAATGCCAAAAGAGCAAGAAAGATCTTTTGGAAAATACCAACGACTTGGAGAAGAAATTACATTCTCTACGTTCCGAAGCTGATAAAGAAAAGAGTGTACTTAAAAGCGAAATTACGTTGTGGCAGGTGAGAAAAACCAATTTTGCTATCATCATTATTATTTAATCTTTGTACAAATTACAGGAAAAATATAACTCCATAATTGCCGAAAAAGAACGGCTTGAAAGCCTACTCGACGTGTCTGGTGTAAAATCTGAATTACAAAACAAAATTGTCAGCCTGCAGCATCTAGTCGCCCAATACGAACAGCACTGTGACTACAAACCGGAAATGAAAAGTGACAACGAAAAGCCTCTGAATCCGCCAAATATTCCTCAAAATACTAGTCCACAAACATATATCGAGAAGTCATTCAATGAGCAAGTGCGTGTGAGTTCTGGCTTATATCACATCAACATAAAACTAACTAACAAAACTGAAGAAGTTGCACCGTCAAATGCAAATACAGCTATTTCTAGTACTAACAATACAAACACAGCTAAATTTAATGAAGCTAACGTTGATGAAAAGGGGAATGAAGATAAAAATGTAATTTTAAAAGTTGGTAGTGATATTGTTGCTGGTAGTGTTGGATTAGACGGTGTCGGTGGTCTTTTGCCTTTTCTCTCGCGTAGTAATCGCAGTTTAATATTAAATTCTGTTGAAAATTTTCAGATTTTACCTAAACCAATTGAAAAAATAGCAGACGGTGGGGACATCGACGGTAAAGTGATTGATCAAATGCACCAGCCACCGTCTAACCAATCTGAAGCTTCAGCCCAGAGTAAGCTAATATTACCTTTGAGCGCACCTCGAAAAGCCGTTACAACTGAGTCCTCTAAGTCCGAACACCATGTACTGGAAGCGAATGCTCCTGCAAAGCAAACGAACAGCTCTTCAACTACCAGTAGTAATTTTCCGCCTTTACCAATTCCGCCGAATCCTCGAAAATTACCGGAAAATGTAGCACCGATACCAGCAAATTTTGAAGAGCTTCTTAAAGAAGATCGTGTTAACCAGAAATCGGATATTTCTAAGCAAAAAAAAGCAAATGCTGCAAAAGAGGGGCAGAAAAACAATAATGATGGAGCTAATAACAATAGATATGCAAATGCTATAAATGAAATGGAACCGAAAGCATCGCGAAAAGAATCGGTTATCGTACCCGCCAACGCAGCAAACGAAGATTCTGGTGCACACGAAATCAAGGAAAACGATTTTATAAACGATCAAAATTTCAACTTACCAGGCAATGAAGACAATAACTTCTTTGATGGAGGAGCTAAAAATGATGCGGCAGGAAATGCTGATGAAAAGCCCAAAGGTGATGATAATGATGACGATGAAGGTCTTGTTGGCGCTGTAGATGCAGGAGATATAGCAGTGAAAAATCATAATTTGTTAGACACTAATAATTTAAACAATGAAGTTGCTGGTGATCAGGGAAAGGAATTTCCTGACGAATTACGTTTAGAAGAAAACAACGAAGAGGATGAAGATGGTAATTCGGAAAACTAGTCTTATTTATTATTTGAATCTAATATATTTCTTTCACAGAAGATGACTATTCCGATCCGGGAGCAAGACAACAAGGAGAACAAGCTATTAGAAATTAGGGAAACGTCAGCTTAATTATGCAATTAATATACATACATACATATTAAGGCGAATTTCGCACTATACACGTCAATCAACTTGTATACATTCGAATAGCAAAAACAATTTTCATGCGACATATTCACGCCTCATCTACTACACATTAACACATACTGAAAGGCAAGTTTGAATCGCTTGCTATTATTAGAATGCACATCAGGTTTAAAACGCCCAGTAACTATAGCATATAGTAAGGGGAATTTTAATAATTTACAAATTTGTGTGGCTCTTCAAACCATTTTCAAATCACTGGTTTCTGTGATAATTTTCAAAGGATCTACATTTATTGATTTTCCTCTCAACCAAGTTGCTCTTTTGCTTCCTATACAGAAACTTGCCTGCTTATATGCATACTTAAGTTTATACTTACTCATGTATTATTAAATTGTCGTTTTTATATGGGAATTTTCTTTTTCTATTGTCCTTAAAAAAAATTATATCATCATTTAGGAAAGTGTGGTATACTCATGTGGACAAATACTATTGGCAGCTAATGCTAAAATATTTATGAACAAATGTTTAAAATAATGGCATGTTTAGATAAATTCTACACCCATCAAAATAAAATATTATTTACAACAACTTATACTTAAGTTTATAGTTTTTAGTGATATACTGTATACATTAAAATGTCAAATTTAATTAAATCTTAAGGATGTCTAATTTAGATTATATATTTTCTTATTCTCCTTAGCGTTTCTAGGCAGAATTCAAATGAATTTATTACTTAAGAAAAAAAAGTGTTTTCTAAATGTAATCTTCTTAGCTAAGATGTCAAATAAAATTTTCAATTTTATTTTATTTCCCCACGAAACTTCAGTTGCGTCTTTCACGTAGAATATACATATTTTAATTCCAAGATAGAAAGGTAGAAGACTTTAACCACAACTGATTATTAATGGGTTCCAATGGGCGGCATTTCATAGCATAAGTGCGGGGTACCATCTCACACGCATTCTAGTATTATTTTGGTCTCGGAAGTATTCTGAGCTTAACTTCTTTTGATAACATGCAATGTTTATTATGTTGTATGGCGTTTAAAAGTTAGGAGTGTTCAACAAATACTCTCTCTAACTAACCCTCAGCTTCATTTTCCCGACCCCTACCCTTAAATAGTCAAATCTACAAAAATTAAACACAATTTCCAAATAATTTATATTTATTAGAGCACAAAAGCATTCATCAATGTTGTTATATATTATACTTTCTTTATATAATGTTTAAACAAAGTTAACATTCCAATATTATTATAGGTAACAAATGTTTATATGACAAATTACGATTTGCATATCATCTAAGCCATCAAGTAGAAGTTTAATATAAATCTCTAACAGTCTTGATGAGTTTTCAGAACGCATTACATCCGCAAAGGCTCTCTGGGGTATGCCGTCACTTTCAGGTACATATTTAAATGCAAGGAAATCTTTGTTTATGCCCTTGAAAAATGTTTCATAGGCACGGAGGCTTTACGGATCATTAATCTACTTATTTGATAACTTTAGGAATAACTAAAATAAAATTTTTAAATGCTTGCACACCAAGTCCACTATACTTATAGTACACGCATTTCTGGACCAACTAAATTATAGTAGGTATCGCTGGCATTGTTTGGGAATCTAACTTTTTTATCTCCAATTATTGGTAATTATGTGGCCTTTCCGCCAGTTATAGATTTGTGATCACTACGTTCCTGTTCTGACAACCAAGCCATCTGTTTAAAAAGATATATATATATATAATTAGATAGATGTATAAAATTTGTGCTGGGAATCATCACTTACCTTTTGTTTGTGTTGATGGGCAGCAGCATGGCAACGATCCAAAACCATTTTCTCAGTCAACACTCCATCCTCGGAAGCGTAAACTGCCGCTTGCCAAGAAACGCCCAATTTTGATATTTCACGACCAGACATTCCTTCACAGATTTTCGCCATCTCCGAACATGTAGCACCATAATCGAACTGGTCCAACTTGAAACGCCTTATAAGAAAAAGAGTTTAAATATTTTGTTTTCAATAGTGACTATTATTGAATATATTTGCTTAACTTACTTGTGTCCCTCGGAAGCAGGCTGCAAAACGTATTTATCAAAATATAGTCGCAATAAGCGTTCACGCTCTTCTAAACCTGGCAATGAAAACTCAACCATCTCATCAAGACGATCATTAATGGCATAATCGAATTGCTCTGGCGTGTTGGAAGCTAGAACTAGCATAAACTTGGAATTTTGCTCAGATGTACGGTATAGGAATGCGTTTAAAGCGGCACGTAAGTCCTCAGAAATATGTTCTGACGAACGTTTACGCAAGAAAGCATCAGCTTCATCAACGAATAATAATAAACCGCGACGACTGGTCTGTGACCAATCGAAAACCTTATGAATGGCAGTGACACCTTCTTTACCCATTGGTGCAACATCGCCACCAGTCATAATAGCATAATCCATGCCTGAATGCGCTGCTAAACGCTTGGCAAACATTGTTTTTCCAGTACCTGGTGGTCCGTGCATCAAAACATTCCGATACATGCCTCTATTTACTCGAGTATTCTTCGTCGCAATTGCAATGTCACGCAATCGTTCTTCAAGTTTAGGGTTCAAAATCACACCTTTTAGGGCGTCAGTGGGTTTAGAACGCAATTTCTTCACATAGTTGATTGGATGCTGAATGGCATCTAGGAATGCAAACCGTGATGTTTCTCCTACCAATGTTGGTTTACCAATTCGTGCTTCAACATAACGTGAAGTTACCCCGGTTGCGCCCTTTGCTGCGTATACACCCAAAGCTAATAATGATAAGCCTCCAGCCGCAGTCAAAACTTTATCCCAATCAGTAAGCATGGCTTCGACACCAGCGCCAACAACTGTACCGGCGGTACTGTAATGGAATAAATGATACATTTATTTTATATAAATCACACACATTTTCTTCTAAAAATTTTACCGTATGCCCTCTAGTACAGTTGTACGATGTTCTTGAGCCTTTAGTCGTATTTGTTCAAGATTTATGTCACGATTTTCCCGATCAACCTTTGCTTTAACACGCATCTCATGCTCAAGGAGCTTTAGACGATTCTTTTCCTTCATCTCTATTTCGTGCTCAATGGTCTGGCGGCGCATAGCTTCTTGTCGAGCTACGCTCTCCTCTTGTCTATAATATATATGTATAACACAAGTAAGAATTAAACAGAACTACATTTTATGTTCACAAAATTTAATTTTTTACACACTTCCTCAAATTCTCCTCTTGCACACGCTGTTGCTGAGCCAATTGATCTTCATATCGCTTCCGTGCCAACTGATCTTGATACTGAGCTCGTTGTTGTTGTTGCTTGGTCTCTTCCTAAAGAAATTGTAAACATGAAGGCATATAATACATAAGTATATATTTAAGAAATTTTACAATCAGTGTTTTTCGTCGCTCCTCATGATCAATACGTCTTTGTTCTACTTTAGCTTGTTCAATATGGGCTTCGTACTCTTTGACCTTTAACTGATATTCTTGTTGCCTAGTCGTTTCCTGCATCTTCGACAGTTCTAATGCCTCGCGAGCATGTTCTGTAACAACCAAAATTTAACAATTAAGTCAAAATCGTTTTTAATAGATTACACATATCATAATGTACTTTGGTATGCATAGATGTATTTCATCATATAAGTTCGAGTCAAATTTATGGTTATGCAACCGACGCAACAAAATTTTTACGAATCATAAATGAACAATCACTTACTTGAACGTTCCAATTGACGAGCAGCTTCTGCAGCTCTTTCCAAGGCAGAAGAATCAAATCGGTAAGCCTCCATAGCTTTGCGTTCAGCATTACTTAACTGGGCATCTCCACTAAGGTTCCCTGCAGTTTTCCCGTCTGGGTCCGTACCGTCCACATTTAATGGTTCCTGCGGTTGTTGAGTTCTATTTCTTCCTAGTAACCAGGACATCTTCACCAGATATATATGTATATATATATATTATTTAATAAGATACGGATACGAATGAAGAATTGAATGAAGATTCCAGCACTGTAATCTACTCAGCGGCAAATTATTAAAAACGTGATGATTGCGGCGAATTCTTCTTCTTCGATAACACAACATCAATATCAGCTGGGAGAAAAAATTGCGAATAATGCATGTGAGGATGATAAAATGCACAACAAATATATTTAATAGTAATAATTGCATTCGTAAAACTTAAGAAGAAGAACGAACTGGGTTCTTAAGGAAGCTTAAATCAAAAAGTTTATTGGGAAAATATATGTTGTTATAGCTTCTATGACCAAAATAGTTTTAAGGAGATCATTCTGCTTGAACATAGAATGCAAGCATTTGAATTTCGACTAAGAACGATTAACGGAGAAAAATAATCGATTAAGGCCATTCACTTGATCAATCTTCGCACCATATCTTGTTCAAAATTTTATAAGTAAACAAATAATACCACGGGTCAACTTAAAAAAGGCGTAGTTATTTTAAAGTTTTTCTTGTTTAAAACGTATACATGTATATGTGAATTATGGAGGCATACGATCTTAATCAAAAAACGATTTTTGTGCTAGATCATACACAATATTTTAGCATATCCAGCGAAGATTACATACCCTTAGAACTACTTAAAGGAAAACCAGGGGTATCAGAGCCAACAAAAGATGCATCTGCAGCGGTTGGAACGCACGACGTTCAGTTCAGTAAAAGTTTGTGGACCTGCTCAGTAGAATCTTCAATAGAGTATTGCCGTATAGTTTGGGATCTCTTTCCCCGAGGAAAACTAGTACGTTTCATTGTAAGTGACACAGCGGCGCACATTGTAAATACTTGGAATTTAACTACGCAAAATATGTCTCATGTACTAAACGCTATGGCTCTGGTAGGCGTACCCCAACGCAACGCAGTGCAGTCGTCAGATTTCTCGGTTATACATGGGTTACGCGCTGCTATTGAAGCACTTGCAGAACCGACAGAAAGTCAATTTACGAAATTGCAAGATCGCGAAAACTCAAATTCATTGTCAAATAAGGGGCGTGTAATATGTATAACATCAGCACGCGATAACTCTAGTATGAAAAGTCTTGAAGACATATTTCATACAGTCCTTGTGCAACAGAATACATTGGCGGCTACACAACGCAAAATGCTACATATTGACCACTGTCATCTAGTAATCATTAATGTCGTGCCCCTTAACATTGAATCACTTGTAACCAATCGTGGCAAAATGGACGTGTCATCGGTTTTATCCACCGAAATTCATACTACATGTGCACCTAACATTTCCAACAAATTAACGCATCTCATCATGAGCCACTACGACTTGGCAAGCACAACAGTGACGGGAATACCCATGAAAGTAATTATTTTTAATCTCAGAATGGGCTTGTTACCTTATTTTATTATTGCAGGAAGAGCAGAATGCTAATTCAAGCGCAAATTATGATGTGGAAATATTGCATGCACGGAATGCACATACTTCCATATGTGGAAGTGAAGCACTGCTGCCAACAAGTCGTAAAGAGGGTGCTGAATATGAAACAGTGACATTAAAGTGGTGTACCCCACGAGGTTGTGGCTCGTCTGATATGCAGCCATGTTTAGCACAGCATCGTGTGACTCCGGTGGATGTGACTTCACGCCCAAGCGCTTGCCTCATCACGTTTCTTCTGAATGGACGTTCTGTTTTACTTGAAATGCCAAGGTAAGTTTATATACATACCTACCAAACCCAAGTTATATAAATTTCAATTTGTGTTACAGAAAACCGGGTGGAAAAACAACGAGTCACTTGCTTTCGGCACGAGGCGGTGAAATTTTTATTCATGCCTTACAAATTACACGTTCTTGTCTGGAAGATCTACCTTCAATATCAGAAGGTCCAGGCGGCCGAGTTACCGACTATCGAATTGCTGATTTTGCAGCTTTTATTAAAGGACACCGCTTCGTACCACTTAAATCAAAAACGAAACCAGAAGAAAATCTACACAAAGCTCGTGAGAGACTTCAGCGAAGATCGAGATATTTTCCTCTTACACTTAACTCCAGTCTAGTATATAATCTTCAGCGTAATCTAAACTGGATACAATACTTCTTGCGAAAAATTAGCAAAGAAGATATGGATAAAGCAGATGAAGCTCAATGTCACCAATATATATTCGAACTATATACAGCTGCAACAAGAGGAGACCCCTTGCCATTCCCAAACATGGGGGGCGGTAGATTGAAGGGAAATAAAAAGACAGACCAATATAAACTTTTATGCGCTGAATTAGAACTTCTAATACGTGCTTCTTCAACTACTCCACATCATAAAGCAATTTTGGAACGTGTACAAAATTTCCGAATTGCTTGCAGAGATTCAACGATTAAATCAGAAAACGATAGTGGTCGTAAGTATATTTGTTTTATTTTATATTTGTAATATTAAACAAACTATTTCCCTTTACTTTAAGGCGACGCGGGTAGTAAAGCCGTTATGCGAGATTCTCCAATGTCACCACCTCATCCAATGGATACCAACAGCAAACGCAATATCACTGGCCCGCCACAGTATGATACATATGAAACTATATTATTCTTATTTGCTACTTCATTTTTTTTATTTAACAGCTCAGTGTTGGATATCTTTAACAACATTGAACGTATCAAATCTACAAAACGTGTTGATTTCTCAGGCCGTCTTTGTACGCCAGCTGGGAAAGTTGCAAAATTATATCCCAGTTTGTTCGCCAAAGAGAAGGATCCCAATCCAACTACGTCATCCACAACCGTAAAAGAAGAAAGCTTGGGCATAAAACTTGAGTTGGGGGTACGAAATCAAACATAATTTTTTGTACAATTATTTTCCATTAACTAATAAATGTCTATGTTGGCATACAGAATTAATAGTCTCATTCATTAAGGAAATGTATTGCTTAAAGTTGAATTATGAGTTAGGCCGTTCTATGGATAGAAACATTGTTTGTTTTTGTTCTAATTCTCTTTTGGGGCTTTCGCATTTTTAAAAGTCAAAGAATTATAGGGCAAAGTGACGGCAGATTGGATTGGCCTTATAAACGGTACTGGCGCCAACGCAACACCAAAGTCAGCATTATTTTGCGAGCGTTGATAATTTGCTGAATTTCCGATATCACTTCAATTTCAATTCCAAAGAATTGAAATGAGAGACTTTAAAACAACTACAATAACTACTAAATTTTACAGCTTTTCGATTTTTGTTAGAAAAATAATTAAATAGAAAAATTTTAGTTGAAAATGTCATGCAACGCGAAAAGTTAAAATCCTACTTGCGGTGCATGACGTTTTCGCCATCAAAGCGAAAAACACCAACGCCATGACACAATGGCGGTTGAACTTGGTTAAAAGATTGTCGTCCAATTATAAGGAATCCGCGAAAAAAAGAAGAAATAAGTAGAAATTAAAATTATCTGATGGTCAACGCAGAGACAATGAGAGAATGACAATTTTTTGTATGCATTCAGCTGAGACGTCAAAGGCAATCTTTTCGAACGACGAGCAATGGTTCCATCAGCTGATTGACATAAAAATTAATTCGCTTTGCTTTGACAGATGATTAACTGGCGCAGAGAACTCTGGCAACCTTAAAATATTTTGTTTTGCTGCTGGTATTCGCAACATCTTTTCTAATCTTTTAATAAAAATTAAAAAAAGTTATTGTTTTTAGTTACTTTGTATAGTGCCAATCGATTAAAAAGAATTTTGACCCGTGGATTATGAGGAATCTGGTCTCGCCATTAAAATAAAAACAAACAAAAAATGGATATTGCATGCACTGTTCTGAACGAAGAATCTTGTCGCAGCTGCTTACAAAGTTCTGCAGACACCAACTCTCTTGACGACGAAATAGAATTCGGAGATGGTACATTCATGTTAAAAAATGTGTATGTAAAACTCCTAGCAGCAACAAATGTTCAAGTAAAAAACAGTGAAATATGTAATTTATATATAGAATTATATTAAAAATATTTATCATATTAGACGTCAACGTTAATCCAGGAAACGGATCAAGCTGTACCTGCCCGTATCTGTACCGAATGCACTCTTAAGCTGTTAAATTCATTTGATTTTATTTGTTTATTAGAACGCTCTGAAACGTTCTTAAAGCAGTATCAACAATTGTGTGCTTCAAAAGAAGAAAACTTGTCTTTCGTTGTTACTGATCATAAGAATAAGAAACCCTATAATGAGAACGAAGACGAACTAAAAATTGAAGCACTGGATTCCGAATATATATTAGCTGACTATGATTATGATAAAGAACTTATAGACGATGACGACATTCGAACCGAAGTTGAGTTTTTAGAGGATAGTAAAAATAGTGATTATATGGAAGATGTAGTCGAATATCGACCCGAAGATATCCGAGATGTAGCGGAATATCTGCCCGAAGACAACGGAGATGTGGAAAGTAAAGACGAACCAACAGATGATTATAGGTAAGTTAAAAGAATTAAGTAACATATAAAATATATAACTAAAGGAATAATAATTATATTTTTAAGCCAAGATATGAAATCTGAATATACTGATCATCTGGAAAAGAAACCTCCACGATTTGCAATTGGTTCTCGTTTGGGCACATTTAAAACAACAAACTGGGTCAAATGTCCTCATTGTGAACGTGTGTTTGCTAGAAATGTGACTTTGGAGAAGCATATAAAAGCTGCTCACACAAATGTACCACCCGAATGTATTGCCGCAATCGCACCAAAACCTACACAAGATAAACCAATTATATGTGACCATTGCCCACGTACTTTTGGGCGGCGTTTTGCTTTAGAACGACATATGCGAGCTATGCATCCGAATATAGAAATTTCTAGCGTGGAACTTGAAAAGGATATGAAATCTTCGGTATCTGAGAAATCGAAAAAACCTTACAAGAGAGGTATTTGTCCCCATTGTGGACGTAGTTTTGCTCAGGCAAGTTTGGTAATTCATATACGTCGTCATACTGGCGAAAAGCCATATGAATGTGATGAATGTCACAAAGGCTTTCCGCGACGACAAGATTTAGTCATACATAAGAGACAACACTCGGGCGAACGACCTCATGTATGCACTATTTGTGGAAAATCGTTTATAAGACCAAATAAACTTTCACGTCACATGCGCATACATACAGGTCTCCGCCCGTACAAATGCTCCGAGTGTCCCAAAGCGTTCACACAATCCAATGATTTGCGGATTCATATGCGTCGACATACGGGGGAAAAACCCTATAAGTGTAATATTTGTAACGAGGGTTTCATAAGTGGTACCTTTTTGAAAGCACACCGGCTGGCCCAAAACCATGTATCACCAGATGATGTTGAAGAGGACCCGTACGCGAAGTGTAGAGTAAATAAAGAAATTAAGATTGAGTGAAGTTTCACAACTTGTAATTCATACTAAACATTAAAAAGTTAAAAATTACAACTGTTTAAGCACGTAAATTTACTATTAGTTTTTAAAATATATATTATTTACGAACATGATATGGCGTTATAATAAAATAAATGTATTCCCATCTATTAATATCAAACCAAATCTTAATTTATTCACATTCTTATTACATAAACTAAAAAGGGAGCAAATTAAAATAAATAATGGAAATAGGTTAATTAAATGATGACGTATTTATCATTATCACAGATTTGTAATTTGAAATTTCCTATAAATAGGGACACACTTTTGTTGTAAGCCGCCTTTGATGGGATATGTATTTTTTTGTAGCGGCTTAAGAGTAGTTAAAGAAGGTAGCAACCTAGAATCTACAGATTACACAGCACAACATTAGTTTCAGCTCGAGTTGGTAGTTCTTTGCCCAGCTGGTGAAGAAGATAACCGTGGTTGACGCTGGTTCTAGTTGTAGACGTCATAAAGTGGGAAAAGTCGGAAAAGTAGCAAAGAGTTACCAAGTTCATGACAAGATGCCAATATCGAGCAATCATCACTCTTGCGAAAACAGTCTCCCCTTGAGGCTAGATCCTCCACAGCAGTGACGCGTGGTGATGTGAAGAGATCACCAAAAGCGTTCACCGCATATGCTATAAAGCCGGATCGACCAGCGATCCGTGAAAACATGGCTGTTTTTGACCAAAAAAATTTGAATAGCTTAACCACCGTCGACACAAAGACCCAAATTCAACTTAAAATTTGCCTTCCTTTATTTAATCACTATTCTTTGTTAGATGTCTCGAGAAACTAATTTTTTACGTCAGTCCTTCCTAATTGGAGAATAAAAATTCAAATTATGATTTTAAGCATTATTTATTATACGCATATATACATACTATATGCCTTGAGTAAAATTATTTATTCATATTAATATTTTAGTTGATAATTACGCAACACAAACATGAGTAGTTATGTACGAGTATGTCTCATATTAGATTTCAAAAGTTATAATATAGAACACGTTTTGATTGAAAAGTAGAATTTCTCTATATACATTAATTCCATTATTTCCAATAATTCAGAAATAGAAAAACTGTCAAATACACTACCTGCGATTAAAATGAAGACGAAAAAGAAAAATATTGAGGACAACTAAAAATTGATTGATGGAAAAACTGTACAATTTTGTTGCCTATAATTATCAAGAAAATATATCTGTATGTATACGCCAGTTTCAACCAATTAACGTTTACGCCAATGTGACGATGATGAGTATGTGGATCGTGATCTAGAACGCGAACGTTTTTTCGACGAACCATGTCGCGAGGACGAGTAACGATTGCGACTATCTTTGTCATCTTCAGCGCTGGAGTGGCGATAACTGCTGCTCCGCTGATGATGGTGATAGCTGCGTTGACGACTACGACTACGACTGCGACGACCCTCGCTTTTGCGGCTACGTTGACTGCCACGATCATCTCGGCGAATTCGCCGATCATAATCATGCTCACGTCTTCTTTTGGACGAAGTCGATGTGCGACTGTAATGACTTGAGTGGTGCGATGTGGATGATGAACTTGTAGATGATGAACTTGTACTATCTGTATCACTTGAAGATGCTTTCGATTCACATTTTTCGTCAGCTTCATCATCATCATCATCATCATCATCATCATCATCATCACTTGTGTGCTCATCTTTATGTTTATGTTGGTGTTTTTCATGACGACGCACTCGATCTCCACCTCTATCTCGCTCACTTTCACGACCTCTTTTACTTTTTCGTTCGCGTTCCCGTTCACGCTCCCTATGTCGATCACTTTCATAATCCCTACGACCATATCGACTACTACGGTGATCACGATCTCTCTTTTCCGAACGTGATACAGACGAACGATTGCTATTTGAACGATGACTTTTCGTTACTTTCTCATATGCAGCCTCTGCGGCATTCAGTAAATTTTTATTTAGTGCGGACACACTGCTGCTGTCATCGAAATTTTGTCCACTACCAGTTATATTGAAAGCCACATGAGAACTTTCCAATGGCATTGCATTGATCGATGATGAGGTTGTAAGTGTCGCCACCGCCAACGAGGAAGTATTTGTCGTTGAAATCGGTAAGAGTGTGCCGCCATTTGGATTAACATTCACACCTTGCATTTTTGAAATATACGTTGCCGCAACTGCCGCTGCGCTTTTCGAATCTTTATTATCGCTAAAACGGGTTGTGCGCTCTTTGCGGGTATGACGGTCTTTTTGACGCTTACCTACGAATAGAAAATTAGTAATACAAAAAAATTACTTATTATTACTCCGGCGGTAATTCATAATAACGTAGCGCAGCTTAAAATAAAATGATACCTAATATCTTTTCTTTCGATTCTTTTTAAGTGGGAATACCTATAATAACCTAAATTATTTATATTATACTATTTTTAATACACTCTTGAATACCAGGACCAAAATCTTTAAAAGAAAATTGTCTATTGTAGAGAAAAAGAGATATATGGCTTGAAAACAGCTGCTTGTTAATATTAATTATTAATTTTAAATACCCTGTGAACTGACACTCTCTACAAACTGAAACTTATACTAATTTTTCCTCCTTGGTTTGTTCCGATTTCTTATATTTTTAGGCAAGATACATATGTATTGTATACAAACAAACGCACCGTTTGAGTGTTGTAACTTTGTTTCAGTTGTCTCACCAAAATCCCCGTCGTAAGATTTACTAACTGTGTTTGTCGACGTTGCTTTATCTTCATCGCTCCCTGCGTTGTCCTTGTAAAGTTCATCTTCCTGCTTTTGTTTTTCCAATGAAGTGTAGTATTTTAACTTCTGTTCTTCACGTGCCGCACTAGCAGCAATACGTTCCTCAATTTCATCTGTAATCTTGGCGAAAGCGCGACGTTTCGTGCGTATGGAGGCCTTTAAAAATTAGATATGTTAAATATTTTATTATTTATCAGAAAAATATTTGTCATAAACCTTAATCTCCTCTTCAGAATCGTTGTTTGGGTCATTATCCGCGTTGGTATCATCATCTGAATCGCTACTCTCGTCACCTGTAGAATCGTCATATGCTGCTAAGCCTAAAAATAAATGTGCTGCTAATTCGTATGCTAAAAAAATGAAATTCTTGGGTACTGTGAATGGAGATTGCCAATAAGAACTAACAGCACAATTATCGGGACATAATATCATATTTACGATAGAGGAAGTTTGTCATGAAATTTTGGAAAAATTTCTATTATGATTATTAAAATCAACTTAAAATATGAACGGAGAGAGGTACATGTGAATAGGATTTGATTTTTCTTTGGAAAATTATAAAAAGGGTTTTTTAAATTGGGAACTAATTATGCTTTCAGTCTAACAGGCCGAATAATTACAATAACCATTTTAATGTAGTAAGAAACTTGTAAAAGCTGTCTAAACAATTTTTAAGGCGTGGTGTTACCTGCTGCAAATTCCCAAATCGAATTTAATTAAACAATTTCGTTTAAATAATTTCGACCGAACCCACATAATAATAATAAAAAAGCCAAGTGGATATAGCATGTAAGTACGTAAATATGTATGTATATCATATTACGGACAATGAAAGTGAACTTACCTAATTTCCCGGTTATGGAAGATAATGCACTTTTACGGATCACTTGAGCTGCTGACGCTATGTTAATACGAGATCGTAGATATCGAGTATATGTAAAATGCACATAATTTCATATGGTTATCAAATAGAGTTCATTTTATTATAACATAGCAGGTGTACAGAGGCGATTGCGTCATGCGTTCTTAGCATTGCACCACCAATGTCCCAGCAATGTATAAAATCACATAGACACTAGAAGGAAATATGCATATCAAATAACTTATTATTTTAGACTTAGTACCTTTGGCTTTGTGCGCATTGACTGCTTCGTGCGCCAAGATTGCAATCTCCTGGTTTGTAACCTCAAGTAAGAGCTCAGTTAATGTTGTTCGCACCACTATCATCTAAGCGTGAATTTAAATTATTTCCAGAATTTTTTCATATGGATAAGAAACGTGTTCAACGAATTATGTGAAGGAAGGTGTATCATATAATTTGCACGTTACAGATTTTTTTTAATTATTTGCGTTACCGGCATTGTAATTTTACGATATACATATATACATTTGTTGATGACATGTCCGTAAAATTTGGAAACAATATTTTGGTTTAGTTATAATTTCGAGTGGTCATCATACATTTGTATGTTTACACATTTAGTTAACTCATACAAACAAATGTTTGTTTATCACAATTGAAATGATTTATTTTGTTTTTTTTTTTTTAATGAAAAATAAATTAAAATTTTATATATATAAACTGTAAATTATTCAAATGTACATACCAATTCAGAGAGTCTATCTTCATAGCTTCGTTTACCCTTATAACTGTCGGAATTGTTTTCAGGATCTGCTTCATATTCATTACCACTAGTGGCACTACCATCGTCGTCATTAGTACTTGTTGTTTTAGGTAGTACCAATGTGTCGTCGTTTATTTCCACACCATCCAAGTCTTCAGCTTCGTCCTCACCTTCAATACCTGATCTTTCTTGCTCCTAAATTATTATTTTTGTTTAGTAAAAAACACTTGTGTCACCTTTCATTATTCTCTCTTAAGTCCATACACTTGGAGAATTTTAAATGAAAGGTTACATTTGCTGAGGCCGGAAGTAACACTTCGGCCGTTTTATAGGTAAAGTGTGAATCTGAACTTACCGCAGGTTGTTTATATTTCATGTTTACCGTGTGCGATGCATCAACGGTTGTACCTACAGACGTATATATAGTGGAGTCACTACTCTCTGTTTCTTCAAGCTTTTTGTTTTGCTCTCTTTCTAACTGTTTCTGCTTCTCTCGTTCCATTTTTTCTAACCCTTCCCTACAGATTACTTAAATAATATTTTTACTCTAAACAATTTTTAATCTTTTCTTTTCACCTTATCCATGCCGGAAGCATTTTCCTTTTCTTGGCATCCACCACAGATGCAGCTGTGTTTTGCTCGTCTATATTAGGTGCCATCATTCTTACACTGTTTGGGTTTGGTACATTCATTTTTAGTAGAGATGGTATATGTGCAGTAGGATTTTGCATTGGACCGTTCAACGGGACCCCTAGCATTGGTGGTGTAACAGGTGGAGGTAAACTCATGCGAGGTGGCCATACTGTGGAACCCCATTGTGGTGTACTTTCAGCATTAGTATGTCCTAATTATAAAATATTCAATATGTTTATATATATGACGAAAAACTGCTTCACCGCTTGTAAAGCTTTAATTGTATACATATATCTTGGTATCACAACTACTGTAATATCTCAAACGAAAAGCACTAATTACATTTTTAGTATTTTCTTTCAGTATCGAGTTGGAGCCAACAAAATTTAGCTTGCGAAGTAAATACTAAAGTTAAGAAGTAGAACTCATACCTAATCCAACTATATTTTCATTGGCCGGTGGTCCAAGGAGTTGACTTTGTTGTTGCATATACCATGGAGCTGGTGATTGCATAATTGTTTGCTCTCTATTTTTTCCTAGTTGCATCGATGGCGCTGGTGGTGGTGGTGTATCTCCTCGTCCACTATTTTCTTCATCTTCATCCATGTCCATATCGGCTTCCCCTTTTTCATCAAAAGATTTTTTGATTGCCGGGGTGATGATCGCAGACATCGACCTATTATTTACCACGCTCGGATTACAATTCGTATTACTGATGTTAGGGGGAGGTGGCGCATCCGGCATAGAAGAAAAATTTCCAGTATCGTGCATTTGAATCCATTGTTGGGCCATTGCTGCCCAATCTATCGACCCACTCATGCCAGCAAATTGATTTAGACCACTGAGGCCGTCACCACTAGAATCACCAGCAGAGTACATCCTCAATGTACTATTTGAATTATTAAATATTTAATATTTTTGATATATAGTATCGAATATTTAAAGAAATAAAAATGTTCAGCAATGTGACACTTTTAAATTAGTGAAATAATTTTTATTAAATGACCATTTATAAATAGGTGCCAACCGTACTTTTCTTTACAAGCGTTTCGCTAAAACTTAGCGTTACCACATAGTTTTTAAAAACTGGTTCATTATGCATGGAGATTTCGAAGAGGTGTAAAATTTTTTTATCTCTAATTTTTAATAAAAGTTTAAAGGTTTAATGAAAGTTCATAATTGAATCGCGTTCTTTACGATCTTTCTAGCTCGTAACTTAAAATTTTTTAGTGTATGAATAATCAAAAAAAAAAAAATTATATAAACTAAATTTTTAATTAATGTTAAGTTAACTATCGTGTTAAATACATTTAACTCTATGTTTGGACTGGCATTGTGTATATCAGCAGTCCATTGACACTTGGGGAACAAAATTAACTTAAATTGATTTTGACTTGAACAGCAATTGAGATACTATAAAAATGAATGGGAAACAAAGCAAAGTTTACAGCGACGAATAAAAAGCGCGGTGTGAGCTGTTTCGATTCGCCTTCTTCTCCAGTTTCCTGAACGATAGTTGGACTGTGTAAGCTCCGTATAAGAAGTGTAAAATTAACAGATCCGGCAGAGCAATCATATGGCTAGAAGTGAAAGCTGTAAACAATAGAGGCAATAATTATACATGTGAAGTTTAAAAGTATCCCGCCTAGTTCTATTTTCTAAATTATAAAAATAATGAATCATAATCGAACAAATCTTACATATAAAAAACAGTTGTCGTTGAGTTCGTTTCTAGAGGGGAAAAAAGAATGCCCTTCCTCGAATTCGGATGAGGCTTCAAACACTCTCTCAAAGAAGTTATTGTGTGAAGAATCAGTTAGAAATGATAAAAATATAAAAAGTCTAGCTTTTGCACCACTGGCGAAGCAACAATCAATAAAAATGCTAAATCCAATATTTTTGGACTCCTCAAGTGATGAGGAGAAAGATGAAGAACAGTGCTCTCCAAATCGGAACAGCAGAAATAGTATTGGAAAAGCCATTGTTCAGCGTTACACATTTGATGAATGCAGCCAGTCTCCACTTGCACCATTGGAATCTAAAGAAAACATAAAACTAGTAAATAGAACTATAAATACAAAAGCTTGCAATGAAAGCAGTTCTTTAATAAATCAAAAAGACAGATATTTGGAAAAAAACAATGCGCATGGAAAAGTAGCGAGAAATAAATATTTACCATCTCAGAGAGATACAAAATCAGAGGAAGAACGATCAAAATTCTATAACAGTGATATCGACAGTCCTAAAACAAGTACCTCGTTTGAAGAACAACAAAAGCAAGATTGCAGTAGCAAGTATATAGCGATCACAAAAGTGTCAACAAGCTCAAAAGTGCCTACACCTGAAAAACAGAAAACGCCTGAAACCAGAAAACATTTTGAATGGGATGGATACGAAAAAATGATCGAAAAGAAATTATCCACGGATTACGACGAATACTTTTCACAATTTGAAGATAGTCACCAAATGTCTGTGACTAAAACAAAACCTATTTCTTTGGAATCGCCTATAAAAAGCATAAATGCTTATGAAACAGTTTCTCCTTTGAAAAATCAAAGCAAGGAATATGATAACTCAAGTATAATAAAACAATGTACTGGAAATAAAGATGCAACGAGTAGTCTGAAAGTCACTTTTGATTCAAAATTAACAGATTACTTAAGTGCGGTCGAACAAGATTCGACTTTTAAGATAAGTATAAAAGATGTAAGTTTAAATTTATATCACAAGAGCTACATTTTTTCTCACATTTCTTTTTGTTACATAAATACATATATTTTTAGGCCACAGATTTGGAATTAAAAACAAGTAATACTTTCTTCAAATCTACTTACAATGAGTTACTGGAGAAACTTGTACAAATTTTTGATCAAGTGCCTGTTAGCTTCTTCAGTGGGATCGAAGGATTTGACACAAAATGCTATTTGCGTTTGAAAACAATGCGAAATAAGTTGAGAGCGCGTTCAAAACTTGTACAAACTGAATTAGAGAAGCGTGAAAAAAAAACACGAATTATTAAAGATGATCCATGCGACCTGGACTATGACGCTTTAGAAGCAGAAGAGATGCTAATGCGTGAAGAATGCAAGAATCAAGACTCTGAAAAGATTACAAGAACGCCTGAAAATATTTGGAGTAATTCACTAATGAGTCGCATTTCCTCAGATGAAACGGGGAAAAGTAGTTCAAAAACACCAGATTTGTCTGAAAATATACTTACTGTTGATGATACGGATGATGAAGAAATGGAACAAGCTTACTTGACACAAGCCATCGCTTTAGATAATGAGGAATTGGATTCTCTACCAAAGGAAAAACTGAATGCGAACAATAATAAAAAACTTGAATTTGAAGATGAAGACGATTTGGAGGCTTTAATAGCAGACATAAAAGACCAGGAAGATTTACTTCGTGGCAAAAAATCGGAATATGATAACTACTCATATAGAGATTTCGAAGAAGAAACCACACCAAAACAACAAATGATTACTAAAACCACAATCGCTGCAGCAGCCAAAGTTTCACCCGACGACCTACAACAATGGTCAACACAAACAGATGACGATGGCTGGCAAGTTTATGACCCAGAAAAATTCGAAATTGCTGCCTCACAAGCTATACTCTTGGATTCACCTGTGTCTAAATCGTCCGTGCCAAATAAAAAAGAAGTATTCTCCGCAATGAATATTACTATAAGCGAAGATGAAAATGACAATATGCCATCTACAAGTGCCGCTAGTTTACGGAAGCTTAATGCACCCATTACAATTACATCAAGTCCATCACCTCTGAAGACCGCACAAAAAGTTGACGGAAACTTCCATGCAAATACACATAACGATGGCATTACCGGAGAATTCGATGGTTTTAAATATCCGCATTCGCAAAACGTTAAAGAAGCATTGAGTAGCAACTTTGGCTTAAAAAGTTTCCGACCCAATCAGTTGCAGGTGATCAACGCAGCCCTACTGGGACACGACTGTTTTGTGCTAATGCCAACCGGGGGCGGAAAGTCTCTTTGTTATCAGTTGCCAGCCTTACTAACCGAAGGTGTTACATTAGTTATAAGTCCTTTGAAATCCCTAATACTAGATCAAGTTAATAAACTGGAGTCCTTAGATGTGAGTAAATGAAAAATAATTAAAATTAAATGTCGTAATATAAAACATACTGGTTAATACGAAACAAGTTCCGGAAAAGCATATACGAATATTTGGTTAGTGACATTAATTAATTTTTTTGTTTTTTTTTTTTAGTAAAGTAATAAAAAATATTCATTCTTAGTTAGATATAAAAATTTTGTAATATTGATTAGAAACTTTTAGCGAAGCGATCAGTATTTTTTATTTACGAAGGCATTTTCCCAAAAATAAAAAAAAAATTAATTAACAGTAATATTCCTAGATATATGCGAAAAGTTTATCAGGCGAACAGACACTACAGGAAATACGTGCAATTTTCTGTGATCTAAAAACCAGTCCACCTCGAATTAAAATACTTTACGTAACACCAGAGAAGATTTCAAGCTCACCACAATTCCAAGACTTGCTCGATGATCTGTATGCCAGCAATTATATTAGTAGATTTGTGATAGATGAAGCCCATTGTGTGTCGCAGTGGGGACACGATTTTCGTCCAGATTATAAACGACTTGGTATATTGCGAAAGCGTTTTCCCAAAGTGCCGACAATGGCCTTAACCGCCACCGCTACGCCACGCGTACGTCATGATATACTACGACAATTAAACTTGACTCACACCAAATGGTTCTTATCTAGTTTTAATCGCAGCAATTTAAAATATTCGGTACTTCCTAAACGTGGTGTTAGCACATTGGAAGACATGAAAGCTTTTATAAATGCACGTCCCTCTAATTGGAGTGGTATAGTTTATTGTTTGTCGCGTAAAGAGTGTGAAGAGGTAGCTAACAAATTGCACATGGCTGGTATTAAGTCGCTAGCCTATCATGCTGGCTTGAAAGATTCATTGCGTGAGACTCGTCAAAAGGATTGGCTGACCGGTAAGGTGCGAGTGATATGCGCGACAGTGGCGTTCGGTATGGGTATTGATAAACCAGATGTCCGTTTCGTACTTCATTATTCACTACCCAAAGCGATTGAAGGGTATTATCAAGAGGCCGGACGTGCGGGGCGTGATGGGGAAATGGCGCATTGTATACTCTACTACAATTACTCAGATATGATGAGAATGAAAAAGCTGTTAGATCGTAAGTAACCGCTGTGCAGCTTTTATATTAAACTTTATATTTAAACAATTTAAATTTCTTTAGTGGATAATACCGTGGCTATGGATGTGAAGAAAATCCATTTAGAAAATTTGAATCGCATTGTAGGTTATTGTGAAAATGTTACTGATTGTCGACGCGCCCAGCAGCTCGACTATTTTGGTGAGCATTTTACCAGCGAACAGTGTCTTGAGCGACGGGAGACAGCATGTGATAATTGTCTCAAAAAACAAAGTTATCAAGTAAGTGCTCAAGTAAAACTTTTTTAAATTTTTTTTTTATTTTTATTTGCTTTTACCATTTCGCAACAGGAAATAAATGTTTTGGAGCAGAGCCGTAAAGTGGCGCGTGCTGTAAAAGATATATGTGGTGGACGAGCACGTTTTACCCTCTTATATATAGGTACAATTAGAAAACCCTTCAACACTCTTCTATTGCTCCTTTGAATTAACTAAATTCTACTTCGCAGCTGATGTACTTAAGGGCTCCCTGATAAAACGAATTGTGGAAAGCGGTCATGATAAAACACCTCATCATGGTGCATTCAAGGAATGGGACAAAACAGATATTCAACGTTTAATGCGAAAAATGGTTTTGGAGGGTTACCTACGTGAAGAATTGATATTTTCCAATGACATTCCGCAGTCATATATCTATTTGGGTCCAAAAATACAGACGTTAATGCAAGAGAGTGTAACACTTAAATTTGCTATATCACGTAAGGAGAGCTCAAAACGAGCACTTCCCGGCTTTAGCAGTGGTATTGTGGTAAGCACGAGTAAAACTACATCAGCTGGCTCCACACAGTTACGTTCAATATATGAGCGGTGTTATGCGGACCTCTTGGATTTGTGTAGAACAATTGCTGCTGCACGAAGTGTTACCATGGCAAGTATTATGAACATGCAGGCATTGAAGGCCATGTCAGAAGCACTACCTGAGTCAGAAACTGATATGCTGAGTATACCACACGTCACCAAAGCGAATTTCGACAAATATGGTGGCAAAATGTTGGAAATAACACGAAATTACGCTGCCGAGAAACTTTGTCTTTTGATGGATCTAGAGGATGCTCATTTGCTTTCGCAAAAAGCAAATAGTGAAAAGGCTGCAAAAACTAATTCATTTGCTTCTTGCGATTCGGATGAGGATGGCGATAGTTGGGCTACTGCGGCCGTTTCACAGGGCAGTAAGCAAAATGGTGGTAAGCGTAAACGGGCATGGAGGGGTGGCGGTGCAAAACGTACCAAAAAGGCAACTGGCTGGGCATCAAGTGGTAAAAGTCCTGCGAAACGCACATATACAAAAGCGAGAAGTGGGAGTACTACTTCACCAAAACCGGGTCGTCGAAAAGCTGTCGGCAGTATCAGCAGCAGAGGGCGCGGGGGTGGAAAAAGTGGCAACAATGCCTGGATATGCAAAAAATCGAGTTCTACTGGTGCTTTCGAGTTGATGCCGTTGCCGAAATCGAAATAGTAGAGCTTAAGGAATTTAGTTATTAACAATTTAGATTATAGGATATACTTGTTTACAAATATTGTTCGTATTTCTAAAAATAGATACTGTTTTATATAAAAAAAACATCATTCTACATTTTTTACCTCAAACTTAAAAAATCTTATTTAAATTATTATTGTGAATCGCTTGAGCTGGAACTGGAACTGTCTGTTGACATCACTTCGACATCATCTTGCGATGCCTCTTTATGAGCACGTGTTTCCAACGCAACGGTATTTCCTGTTGATCCCATAGACATGTGCAATTCGCCAAGATTATTCCAATTGAACTGATTTTGGAAGGTATTAGGCACCTCCGCCATGCTGCGCTGTGACTCGGGCACATTGTTTTGATGTGCTACTCCACCACCGTTAATGTTTAAATCGTTTTTTCCTAGAAATCCGTTGCGCATTTCGATATCCGTGGGATATGGACGTCGTACATCTCCGATACACCATGTAAGCGGGGCACTAACAGCATTCGCTGCACTAATGCGATGTGCATATTTAATAAGTTCTTCTGAAGAAACTGGTCGCTTTTTTGACTGGTAAATGCTTGCAAGTTTTTGACGAGCTTGAAAAATTGCTGTAGAGAGTATGAGCTCAGCTTCCTTCAGTGACTTTTGAAGTTTTTGTATTTCGCGATCCTATATTAGTAACATCAGCATAAGCATAATTATTCTTGTTTTACATATATATATATATGAGTGTATATAAGGAAATTGAAACTTACGTGCACTTCAACTTTTGCGCGTAACTCATCCATCTTTTGTTCAATTTTGGCCTGCTCATCGGCCAATTCTAGCATTTTACGGAACTCTTCATCTTTTGATACCAGCAAATCCACTAGTGCAGTATGATCGGCTGTAGAAATTTTCTGATGCTTCGGGGCGACTGTATTTTCGATTAGTTCTCTGAGAGAAAATAGAAGTATTAGAGTTCAGATGTATTGAACATGGACTGCAACTTACTTTGCTATCAATTCTATGTCATCTAATAACAACAAAAGACGCTCCTTTGTGCTTAAATGAAAGGACATGATGGATCACTGATGGAACTCAACGCTTTAGGAATTTTCAAGCAGCACTGACTTGTGCTCAGATTAACGATTGCCTTAAAATATCCTAAACTAATCTTACTTTTATATATAAAAAAGAAATTTGTGCAAAAGTAAAATTACTCGGACTTGAATACAGCACAAAGACAAAAAAATGAATGAAAGAAGCAAAACAAATAATGCGGCGAAACACTGAGAGAAGAAATGTGTGTACATTGACAAAAAGTGATGCCGTACAAAAGTTTAGCTAAAATTTAAAACACGAAAACTGTTATTGATTTTTATCGGCAACTTTTCTTATGATGATGCCCTTGTCGTTCATACGGAAATGAAAAATTCGGTGTGCTGTTTTCCTCGAAAATTAAATCTGTTATTTATGCATATATAATATATGTTAAGGATTTGTAAGTATGATCCCAGACTCGAATTTTTATCTCTACCCTCCCTTCGCGTTCTAAGCCCCTTTAAAGATAAATACTTTTCTAAAGATTCCCTCCAATATTTTTTTAACTGTAGTAATATTCAGGCACCCTTTATTTGTGAAAGTTTTGTACAACGAGCCGGCAGCACTTTGCACCTTTCATTTTTTTTTGTAACAATTTCTCTCAAACGTGAAGTTGAATAAATTTATTGTGAGTTTAAATTTCTAAATAATAAGGTTTTTAAATTTACATTGTAGCCGTGTAGGTAATAAATTATTTTCTGTTTTCAACTTTCGTGGCATGAGAAAAATATGACGGAGCTATATTGTCTTAGTAACTTTATTGATTTTTCACAAAGCCTTCATGAGCCGCTTAAACATAGTAATCGTATCAAAGTAAGTTGACTTAATGAATTAATAATCTTCACCGTATGTGTGTATGATTTTTTTTTTGTATTTATTAGTACACATGTTTTGATATATCCACAAACTATGTCGTCTTCGGAGCCTCATCGGGATCACTATATCTTTTTAATCGCTGTTCTGGCAAGTTTCTGCATCTTATACCCAGTAAACATGGACCTGTGACACACTTAGCAATATCTGCTAACGAGAAGTATGTAGCATTTTCTACACAGCGATCAATGATCTGTATATATGCAGTAAATCTTTCTGCACACAACACCCCACAAGTAATCTATACAAATCTAAGTAGCGATCAGACGTTACAAGTGACATGTATTCATTGGACACAAGATGAAAAACAGTTTTACTATGGTGATACTCGTGGCCAAGTAAACTTAGTGTTACTATCCTCATTTATTGTAAGTTTTGAACGCTGTGGAATAAATTAACATTCACATACATGTGTAATCATAATTTACAGGGCAAAAGCCTTCTGAATATGGGTGTACATCCTATTCTATTCCTGGAATCGCCGATTGTGCAGATTGATGATTTTGAGTCGTTACTACTTGTTTCTAATAGCAGCAAGTGTATATTGTGTAACACTGAGTATGAGGAGTATAAACAGGTAATCTATATAAACTAAATAAAATAAATAATTTCATTTAATAATTTCATTTAATTTTAGATAGGCAATCGTCCACGAGATGGTGCATACGGTGCTTGCTTTGCCATTTCGACCAATGAATCTGTAAACCCCTCTCGAATTTATTGTGCTCGGCCGGGATCTAGAATTTGGGAGGTAGACTTTGAAGGAGAAGTTCTGCAGACGCATCAATTTAAGGCAGCCTTAGCTACTTCACCTGAAAAAATACACAAGTTCCACGGCTATGAAGAAGATACGATTGCAAAATATGAGGAAAATGATGAAATGCTCGAATATCAGCCTCAAAATTTGCAATTTTCCAAAATCCAAATGCTCAATAAGGACTTTCTACTCGCTTTCACAGAATTTGCTCTCTATGTATTTGATATGCGCAATTCAGCGGTAGTTTTATGGTGCAATCAATTTGAGAGAATTGTGGATTGTCGGGTGATTGGAAAAGAGATTATTGTTTTTACACAATCTGGTTCATTGTACAGTGTGCAATTGAATCCATTAAAAGTAAGTAATGCATAGCCCAATCAATTGTTAAATTTTTTCACGAAATTCATTCTTTTTTTTTCAGACACATGCGTGTAGATTGGTGCGACAAGAAAAACTATTAGAATGTGCTTGTCTGATGCGCAAAAATGTTAAATACTTTGCAGATAAAGCACGTGAAGACTATGATTTGAATATACTAAACCAAATTAAGAAATTTCTGATTAATCGACAAGAATTTGAATTGCTAAATGATCTCTCAGTTATATTTGATGCCATTATGCAATGCGAAGGTGATTTTGTAATACTTATACAATTTTTGTTTATAAATACATATGTGACATCAATTATCATATTTTAGCTATTGGCGACAATAATAGTACGGGCAGTAGCTCCGGTACAACTGAGCGTAGCACAAGTGTTGGTGCCATCGGCTTTCAATTCATGCCTAATAATAATCATACGCCCCCAGCGAAAGAAGTTTACGTACTGGAAAATGCATTTTGTGAAAATTTAAGGTCAGTCAAAGGCAGTGAAAAACATTTTAAAGATGCACTTTTAACGGTTACCGGAAAGTTTGGTAAAAATATTATTAAATATAAATTTAATATATTCGCCGAGGAGCAGAAGAAATTGGTACGAGACCTTATACCATCTAATGAACGCTCTTTACCATTTAATGATATTAAAGCGATTTATGAAAAAGATGAAGAGATTGTTTGCCGTACAAAGAAATCACATACTACAGAAACTACCCAAAATACCACCAATAATGGGCATCACATTAGTGCAGAAGAGAAAACCATATACAATTTGTATTTAATTTGTAAAAGTGCAAAAATAAGTAATATTAATTTTGTCGAACGATATCGCTCTTTATTTGATGAATATTCAGCACGTGAGCTGATTGATTTACTGAGCAAGTTGGAGATGGTAATGCAAGAGCACGGTGAAAATGCTGAGCAAGCACGAAAAAATTGCTGCGAGATGTACTTTAATTACCTGAATGCTGAGCTTATTTGGGAAATGGATGACTATACGCGGGACTTTATCGCCGAGGGCTTTGTACTACTCAATACAACGGCAGATATTGTGCGTTGCGATAACTGTGCCTTTCCACTGCGTTTCGATAACACTTGTGTATTCCATGAATTGGGAGCAGTTTTACTACGTTATTATTGGTCGCGCAATGAACAAGTAAAGTGTTTTGATGTACTAATGCAAGTGCCGGCACTACTAGATGTTTTGGCGAAATTCTATATGGCCGAGAATAATATTGAGAAAGTAGTACCAATTGTACTTAGTTATCGGCAACCTGAATTGCTTTTGGAAGTTGGTAAAGGTCTCAGCTTAGCGGCATGGGCACGTTGCTTTGAACAATTTGTCGATTTACAGCAGGGCCGACTTTGTTGTATCAACTGCGAATGTGTTACAACGGTGGACAATGTCAATCAACATTTTTTCTACACTTGGAATTGCTTTCTAAGCATTGCACTAGAATATCTGCAGGCGCAGGAAATATTTGCAATGATTTTTAAATGGTCTAATTATATAGCAAATGACGCTATTGATCGGGAATTTTATACGCGTTGTTTGTTGAAAGGCTAAAAACGTTTAAAGCTAAACTCAAAGACATTTACTAAAAAAAAAATACTATTATGGTATTAATTCCAAAAAAGACTAATGCGTATTTGGGATAAATTGAAAATGTATATTGCGTTGGAGCTGTTGAAAAAACTTGCTTGTATTGTTGTAACTTTAAAAATTTACAAATTAATTCATACTCAAATATGCGTCGAATTTGTTCTGCCATATATATTACATTTAATATATATATTTATATTTAATCTATTATCAAAAATAAGACCACACTTAAATATATATACACTCAAATAATTGCAGAAAAATTACATACATATATGTATACAATTAAGAGTAAAAACAAGTTTGAAATGTATGACGAATTTAAAAATTATGGGACTTAAACAATATAATATATAATATATAAGCAGATAAAGAAAATTAGGGCTATCGGCTTTTGCCGCAAACCCATATACACACACATACATTTATATATACATACATTGTTGCTGCATTGTTGAACGTCCTAAGTTTGCAAAAGTTACCTAAAGTATTATATTGAACAAAAATTTGCATTGAAAATATATAAACTAAATATATATATATGCACGTACATAAATTGTGCGTTCAAGCAAACCAAATAATTGTAATTATAGTACATATAAATGTTAACGTGCAAAAGCACTCTCTAAACTTGGCTCATGTCTATAAGCCCATGATATGATATCACAAGTCAAAATTTTCAGTATAATCACCAAGTCATTTTAAACTCTCATGAATCTCACCATAAATGTTAATATTATATATATGCATATTGCATGAGTAAATTCTTATATTGGTCTCATCGTATACTGTACGTATGTATGTTGAAAGTTGTATTTTAAATATTTTGTATGCCTTTTTTGGAGTTTTGAACTACATGTATATGTATATTGTATTCTAAGTTGCTAATTAACAATGATAAATTTAATTTATATATTTCCATATTTATATAAGTCACCATTATGTGTGTATGTATGTAGATATACTGCATTTAATTTTTATGTAATTTATTTATAATCAACCAATTAATAAAACAATATAACCTAAAGCATTTCCAATATAAATATGTTCATATGTATACGTGTATAACTTCTGTTTTGGGAATTGATTATTTAAAAAGCGCCCTCTTTGGGATTTTTGTTTGCTGAATTGCCATCTCTATACTGAAATTGAGATTAGTATAATAGTTCCCGCGCCACTTCATGGATAGAAAAGTATTTCAGACAAATCGTATTGTAAATGCGATTTTCTCAAAAACATACACTGGTGTGAATTGGAGGAGTACTGCATATCAATTTTAATATTAGGTTGTCAAATATCTCCCTTCCGTTTTTTTGTCTTTTGAATTTCGCGGCTATGTACAAAGCGCAACACTATACATAATTTGAAAGGTCTTGACATAACCTACAAAACAACGCTATGCTTGATTAGTTTGGATATTGCGTTCAACAGTTATATACGTGTAAACATGGAGTTCACTAACGCCGAAATTTGCGCTATTTTAAAGTTTTCCTTCGTTAAAGGCAAATCCGCTAGAGAAACGTTCCGTGAGATTAATGGTGTTTTGGGGGATGGTACTCTATCACTTCGAACCGCGGAGGAATGGTTTCGACGATTCAGAGCCGGTAAAAACGACACCATGGATAAGCCAGCCGGCGGAAGACCTGTGACGACAAATACCGATCAAATCATGGAATACATCGAGTTAGACCGGCATATGGCATCTCGTGACATCGCCTAGGAGATGGGAGTTAGTCACCAAACCATTTTGAACCATCTGCAGAAGGCTGGATACAAAAAAAGTTTGATGTTTGGGTGCCGCATAATTTGACGCAAAAAAACATTCTGGACCGAATCAACGCCTGCGATATGCTGCTGAAACGGAACGAACTCGACCCATTCTTGAAGCGGATGGTGACCATACGACAATATCAAGCGAAAACGGTCGTGGTCGAAGGCCTGTGAATCGTCCCAAACAGTGGCCAAGCCGGGATTGACGGCCAGGAAGGTTTTGCTGTGTGTTTGGTGGGATTGGAAGGGAATCATCCACTAAGAGCTGCTCCCATATGGCCAGACGCTTAATTCTACCATCTACTGCGAACAACTGGACCGCTTGAAGCAGGCGATTGACCTGAAGCGTTCAGAATTGGCCAACAGGACAACGCCATAACACACACTTCGTTGATGACTCGTCAGAAGCTACGGGAGCTCGGATAGGAGGTTTTATCGCATCCACCATATAGCCCGGACACAGCGCCAAGTGACTACCACCTGTTCCTGTCCATGGCGAATGCCCTTGGTGGTGTGAAGTTGAACTCGAAAGAGGCTTGTGAAAAGTGGCTGTCCGAATTCTTCGCAAATAAGGAGGGGGGCTTCTACGAGGAAGGTATTACGAAGTTGCCGTCTAGATGGAAACAGATCATCGAACAAAACGGCGTATATTTTAACTAAATCCGGTCACTGTAACACTTTTTATAAAGCATTGAATGAAGAGCAAAAGCGGATTGGGAAAGTGTCATGTCATTGACAACCTATTTGATTTCCCGAAATGAATTAAGGTCTAGACAACTGTCATTTAATGTCGGATTCATGGTGGGGGAGAGACTTAGTCGCCGAGTGTTGGCATTCACCCCAGCATTTTCTCATTAAAAGGGAAATGTTTTAACACATGCCAGGTTTTCGGTTAGACCTCGATGGAAGATAAGGAGAGGGAGAGATGATGCCAAGGATGGTTCTTGGCTACTTTAATGCCATGGTGAACAAAGAGGGTATCGTCGGAGAATTTAGCGTCCACGACGAAAAATCACCAAATGGCTTATTGGTTGTCTGTTGTGCGTACGCAGCGAGAACCAACGACAGCTCTGGCTAGTAACTTGTCGCAGTTAAGATATTCTTCAGACAAAAACAGTGATAAGCAGCGAAGGTGTGAAGAGCTTAAGAGGGATAATGCGCAAAATTTCTATGAAGAGTTGCAACGATTTACTGAAGGTTTCAAGACCGGATCATATTAAAATCGGTGATCTGGTGACCGATGCCCAGAGGATTAGATTTTATGGAGGGAGCACTCCTCCAGCCTGCTGTCGACTTTCATGAAATACGAATTGATTAAATGCCACAGTCAACGTACTGATTGGATCTTAACAGTAGGGCTTTAGAAGTGGTAAATCTACCATTTACCAGATATTCACCATTTGCCAAATCTGGGGAAAGACCTGGAAGAACGGATCGATACACTCATCCCTTCAAGAGGCATAAAGAAACTGCATCTATACTGCCATGTCTGAATTTAGTAACCGCCGAAACTTATAGCGCCTACTCCTATTGCCTTAATTTAATGAATGAAAACTAGACATTTCTAGAAAAGGATAAGGGCCAACAGTGGATATCGCGGGCAATGATACGAGACACAATATACGAGGATATTTCGGTAGTTCAGCGAATAAAGAGACAATGATTCCGCTGTTGTTCGGATGGATTAAAACGCTGCAGCTCTGAAAGTAATCGATTTGGTACCCACTAGTGTAAGCAGAGGAAGAGGAAGACCTCAACTTGATTAGAAAGATCAGGTGAAAAATTATCTGGCTTCAGTTTGGTGTCTCCCAGCGTCGATATAATAGCGTTAGCGGTGCCCACACCAGTAAAGAAGAGGGAATTTAAAAAAAGTGGCTTTAGTAGACAACAAAAATATATTTATAATACCCCTGCTCCTCATAATTGAAGACTTTAACTGCCCGTCACGCAGTACACATTGGATTTTTTTTTGTTTTAAATTTGATTTTCATGCAAATATTAAGAGTCCATTTCAATAAAAACCCACAATATCCCCAAGTAAATATGGCAAAAGCAAATAAAAGTAAAGAAAAGTCTCTAAACTATGAGCAGCAAACAAGAGTAAAAAAAAAAATACTTATGTGTGGAGTATATGTATATACGAGCGTATTCTTAACTGTACCCAATAAGCATTCAATGTGTCTGCGCTTTTCAACGCTCACCCTAATAGATAATTCGCATCCTCAATGACGCCGTGCAGAGCGTACCTAAGCCGCTTTTGCTGCTGTGGAACAAAGTATCGAAGAAGACCCGAAAGTGTTCGTTGGCCATCGCGTGTAGCAGTTGGAGCTCCTCATTATGGAAGAATTCTCTGAAGGATCTTGGTTCGCGGGATTACAAAATCCAACTCGTGCAATAATTGAAGGCGAAAAACCATACGTTCGGAGAATGGACCCAAAAAGAGTTGATCACCGGTCTTAATTTTCACAAGAAAACTTTGTTCAGCGATGATGCTCACTTTTAGTGAATGGATACATTAATAAACAAAACTGTCACTTTTGAAGTGATACGCCATTGCTCTGACACCGTTAAGTACGCAAAATGTCCAAGATCATGCGATTTAACACCGCTGGACTATATTTTGTGGGGCTGCGGAAAGTCGCTTGTCTATGCAGATAATCTCGAGACGCTTCACGCTTTGGAAGAGAATATTCGAGCCAGCCCCGGTGGTCGCTTGTCCGCAATCATTTTTAGGACATAATGGAAAGCCGTTCATTTTCTATTAATTTTAGTCTAAGTCATCTCGTTCAGCTTCGTGTTTTTCTGTATCTCGCCCTTCACTATACCTTTACCTGTAGATTCCAAGCCGATATTTGAAATTCCGCCAGCTCATATTACTTCAAACAAATTATCATTTACATCCTAGTTTAAGTGATTATATCGGTATTCTTGGTTTTCTTGGCGACAGCACTGTTATTTACGCGCCGAATCAGGATCTGCCGGAAATGTAAATAAACTACGTTCAGCTGCTATTCAGATATTAATTACTTGGAGCAAGGGCCGGACTATAAGATGGATGCACAACAACGACTCGACCAAATTCTTGTAGTTTCTGTCGAGTCACTATCGATGTTGGTGGTCTGGCAGGGCGCTTCTAGGCGATTGCTTCGTTCAGAGGAATTAAAGGTTTGGCCGTAGCGGATCAGCTCAGAATATGAAAGATGATTTTTACCAATCTCAATAAAAATAAACAACAAC